GAGCCCTGGGTGTCGCTGTTTGTAATATACTATGCACTCCTCCTCTCTAGCTACCATTCAGACCTCCAACAGGGCCCTGTGACCTCTCTGCAACGTTTTGGCCAGCCCTTCACAGAGAAAAGTAATCAGATTTTTTTTTTCAATTGTTGATCTTGTTCTATTGGTCACTGTTGGGAGGCAAGATAGTTGTCCCAAGAATTAGACAACAGTGAATACTCTTTGTCTCAAAAATAATCTATTCAAATCTTAAAATTCACTTCCAAATTTTGTAGCAATCAGATCACATCACAACTACACCAGCAAAGTGAAATTAATGTTCCAAGAGATACTCATTGTATTTGATCATATCAAACAGGACAGTGAAAAATTTTGATAGCAAATGTTTTACTTAAAGCATTTCCAAACAGCAAATTTTGTGTCAATCATCAAAGAAAAGCATTCCTTTACTCATAGACCACTGATGATTACACAAATACCTTTGCTTCTGCTTCCAATGGGTAGCCACTACTGATACTCCTGGCAAAATGTTTCCTTTGTAGAAACTCTCAGAAGAGTTCCAGATATTTTCAGTGTTAACTTGGTAGACATAATTGAAAATATATTTGTATATGTGGGGCTGCTGTATTTTAAAATACCTGTTGCTTTGTCTAAACAATCAACTTCAGCTGATATTTGGGAATGTTTCTGTCTTTTCTGACATTTTAGTTTGGCCAATGGAGATTTTTCAGAACCCTCCCTTACTCAGGTCCCATGTTAAGTATTAAGTACAAAGGAATGCCTTTCCCAGCATTTAGTAGCCCTTTCCAAATCAATTGTCATGAAACATTTGTTTTATTTTTACACCCGGTTTTGATATTTATACAGCAGGGCTGCAGGAGGAGTTTGTTTTACTGCCATCGAGGAATAATTAATTTTGTTTGAATAGTAAGTATGTGAGCAGCAAAGATCAAACATTTATATCACAGTTAAATGGTCTATGGACAAATCATTCATCATGGTCCTCATCAGATATTTATTAAACAACTTCATGGAGACTCATAATAACTCTCATTTATTGATGAAAACTATTTACTTACCTTGTCATACTAATATATCTTTATTCGCCTGTATTATTTATTCTATACATTGCACCAAAATTATGTAGTTTTTATTTATGGGGTGACTTCTAGCAGTTGAATGTCAAAGGGAATAAATACAATGCACTGATTTCAGAAGGTACTTTGGAGTTAAAGAAAAATACTAGCTAAATACTCTAGTTTGTGTTTAAAATAATGACAAATATTTCCAATGAATTAAAACACAAGAAAAATAAAACTATTAAGTTATTAATTATACACATTTTAAAGTTATACATATTTATTTTTTAAAAGATGAGAAATAATAATGTTATTTAGATTCTTTACATTTTAATAAAACCTAATGAAAAAGTTATATTTATTTGGTAAAATATTATATTTATATTAATTACAGTAATTCTTTGTATTCTATAATTTTAAAAATTCTAAAAGGTTTTCTTTTTCCATGTCCAAATTGAAATATATTAAACTGTTTAAATTATTTAATCCAAAGCCAGCATTTTGGTTTTTATTTAATGATTTAACATACTTTTTAAAAAATGAATGTTCAGTGACTCTTCAAGTTTATAGTAAATGCTTTAAAATATGTTAATGAAAGTTTAGAAAAAAACCTATTCAACATGATAGTTCAAATGATGAGATTTATATCATTGCTATTTTTAAAAGTGAAAGATTATTTTATTAAATCTGGTTGGAAACTTCCAGTTGAAGTAGAGAATGAGCACTAACAATACATGTCTGAATTGACATTGAAGTTTTAGTGGATAAATCAGCAGTGAACTATTTTCCTGAATATTTTTAAGGAAGTAGTCTCTTCTTTGACTTGGGATTTTGGCAATATAGATCTTTCATTTCACAGAGGTTCTTAAAATTTCAAAATTTGCTCTCAAATTAGGAATATGTTTATCCTTTATCAGTATTTACCTTTTGTCGTTCCTCTTAATATTACCTGATTATCACGTGATTGCTTATAGTTGCTCATTGCACCTGCCAAGTATTGATTTTTTAATGAATTGTGATAACCTATGTCTACCTTACTACCTCCCTTTTTATAAGGTATATTTCCACTTGTTTCCGACTCTAAGGCTTTAAGTGTTGCTTCAGATTGTAACTATCATGGGTCATTTCTGTAAGAGTGTAACTTTAAAGTATTATTTTTGGAAAAATTACTTTGAAATTCGAATCACCTTGACTAACAACATGCTCTTGAAATGATAATTGATATTTAATCTTATATTGACAACATAGACAGACAGTTTTACTCTCTCACCCCCACCCAGGCATATCCTTACAGTAGGAAGTTACCTTCACATAGTAGAGGAAACAGCTTTTTGAAGCTGCTTCCATAGTTAGAAATTTCAACAAATAATGTTCAAATCCTTAATCATGTCTAAATATTACATTCCTTTTATTTATTGTCTTGATTGGTATCTGGCAAATCATACTTGTGTCCAAGGAATGGTGTGTTAATTTTTCTTGGACTGAGCCTTGAATGAGTTTCTCAGTGAGATGCAATGGATGGGTCCATATCTAGCCAACGATGGCACTGACTGACACCTGGACTCATCAAGACTGGATCTGCGAGTTATGTGTGCAGTATAAGAGTAGTGCTTGAGAAGAATGGCTCAGTAGTAAACAATCAAAACAAATCACACACAATTGAGTAGGAAAGTAAAAGAGTTGAGGTACCTGAGGCAGACAATGAAGTCTAAGACATTAGTGGAAATGTGTTTACACTGGCTGTTCTAACTCTGAACTCCCTTCCATTGTCAGGACTTAGTTTTGACTGAGGTCACAAGTTTGCTGCCCAAGAGCTTGTGCCCCAAAACTTTTCTTTTAGCATGTTAAGCTAATGAATTGATAGATGCCCAAGGACATTTATTTTTGTCTCCTTTCCCATTAGTTTTATAACTAGATATGAAATATAGCAGTACAAACTTGACCTTTTACCTGTTTTAGAGTTATCATCTATTAAAACTTTCCCCCACACATTCAGTCTCCTCATATCATTTAACAGTTAATTCACATAGTCAGAAATAGAGTAACTTAATGGCATTTATATTGATGAAATATAGTTCCTTAGGACCTATGAAATCCATCTTATTTTGTATTTCACCAAAGACCTTTGGATAGTATGGAAATTATAAAAGACTTGCATAATCAGCATCAACTTTTTCTATACAAGTCATTTCCTCAAGTTCAGTAATTTGTGTTCTTCCTAAAATCAATATATATCATCAATATCAATATAGATGAATTCTCTAGGCTATCAGCTCTCAATTACCACTTTATGGGTCAATTGCTGAACATTTTTCATCTTCATTTGAATTTCTTTTTAAGTTTGGGTATTTCTGAGTCATATTTCTATTCTCTAAAGCAGATATACAAAACATTGAGATACTTTTTAAATGGGTTGCAATAAAGTTATTTAAAAGGAATTTAATGGAAATTTGCATAGTACAACTTATTTCAGTAATTAGGGTAGTCATTAAGGTAATGCTTTCCCTTTTCTCACAAAGCTTCATAGAATAACTCTACACATAGGCTATTGTTTAGTTTGCCTAAGGTTAGCTCATAGAATGCAATGAAATAAAGCATTCGGCTAACTACATAAGTTAGCAATGGTTTGTGTGAGAGAAATGTTTAGATGAAATTTAAGAGCTATTAAAAATATTTACACTATTAACTATAGAAAACTTTCATAGGCATTCCTAGTCACTGAAAGCATGTCTAATTCTGGCCTGTACTTTGTACAGTGGTACATCCAATTCCAAAATGGATACATCAATGAAATTTACTCAGATCTTAAACTGTCCTAGAGGCTGTTGACTTGAGCTTCATTCGGAGGCATCTTGAATGGCCATTTAGATTGTAAAGGTAGCTGGGAAGTTTACACTTTTATCAAACCATAAACATTTCCATGTATGTTTTAAGAAATATGAATTTTAGTTGCTCTGGAATGTTTTGAGTTATATTTTGATTGACTAAACATTACACACAGAGAGAGACCAAATTGTGGTAAAAATTTAAATTTATACTTTTTTAGCTTAGTGACTGAGGATTTCATAATCTTCATGAAGTATAGTAAGCATTGAAGTTGGACTAGGAAAAAAGCAGGAGATAGATCTTCCTAGGAATAACTGATTTTTTTCTTTATTATAAACAAGTTGATTAAAAATATATTTAACTTGTCAGCTTAGAAACTTAGAATTTATTTATTTATTTAATTCATTTTTTGAGACAGACTTTCACTCTTCTTGCCCAGGCTAGAGTGCAATGGCACAATCTTGGCTCACTGCAACTTCTGCTTCCCGAGTTCAAGTCATTTTCCTGGCTCAGCCTCCCAAGTAGCTGGAATTACAGGCACCTGCCACCACTCCTGGCTTATTTTTTTAATTATTTTTTTATTTTATTTTTTTTTTAGTAGAGACGGGGTTTCACCATGTTGGCCAGGCTGGTCTTAAACTCCTGACCTCAGGTGATCCACCCACCTCAGCTTCCCAAAATGCTGGGATTACAGGCATAAGCCACCATAGCCGGCCAGAATGTATGTATTATATTGGAGGAAAATTGTGGTTAATTTCATTACCACTTAGTATGTACTTATAAGCAAGCTGATTTTAGAAATAATTGTATAGTCATTTCAGAAACACTATATATTCAGCATATGTAAGTTATACATGTGGAAGTAAAATGCATTTAAGTAACTGTTCAAGAAAAAACTAATTTAGGATCTAAATGAAAGGAAAATTGGAGTGAAGTTAGTAATAATGTTAAGTTAAATTTCTTATTCCACTCAATTATTATAAAAACTTATAAGTAACAGGAAAAAAATCTGCTAATAAAAATGCCAATGAACTCTAAGAGGCAGATGGCATCTTCAAAGATTTTATGTAAGTTTTTTTGTTATTGTTTTTCCAATAGCTGACAATACTGTAAATGATACTGATGTTCCTATGGAAACAACTGAATGCATCCAAGGTCAAGGAGAAGGCTACAGGGGCACTGCCAATACCATTTGGAATGGAATTCCATGTCAGCGTTGGGATTCTCAGTATCCTCACAAGCATGACATGACTCCTGAAAATTTCAAGTGCAAGTGAGTAAAGTAGGCAAATGTTATACATTTCAGTAGGCCCTGGGGAAAATGAGGTAGAGTGGTTACTTTTTACTAATTTTGTGTTAGTGATCAAACTTTATTGTGCCCAGTGATAATCAGGAGTTAAAAGGCAGATTATTCCTCCACTCAGAGATTTTGATTCTTTCAATCTGGGATTTGGTCCTCAAATATGCATTTCATTAAGCACTCTGGGTGGTTCAGATCCAGAGGGTAGATTCACTATGCTTTGAGAAATACATCCCTAGGTGGATTTCTGATCACAACTTTGCTCTTGTGGGTCTGTTTAATAAATCAATTAATAGTAATGATAGCCAGGCATGTTTCAAAATACTGCCTTCTTAAATTTTCATGTTAGCTTTGGGAGGATTACACATTTTTCCTTTTGAAAGAATGGAAAGAAAAGGCCTACCACTGAAGAGTTATTAGCCTTAAAGATCTGTGAATAAAATAATTTTTCAAAGCTTAAATGAATGTGTTCAATTGTTTCTGGATTTGCTTTGAAAATTGAGGAAGCAAAACAATTGTGTAGATGACTCAAGCCAAAGAAACTGCCCTTGAGCATCAATTACATAGTTGTTTTGTGCATTCTCTATGGGTACTTTTCACACCACTTGGCTTTTGTAGACAGGCACAAACACAATGCCATGTGTTTTTAAATTGTCCACCTTGTTATGAGGAACATAAAGTGATTGCTTTTGAAATTAATAACACACATCATTTGTAGTGGCTTTCCTGAAATAGCACCTATAAATAACATATATTGGCTTTATGTAATTGGCTTTTAATAAGACAGGCTAACATTTCTGAATGAGGTGCTATGAGCACTAGTTGGCCCATCCACCATAGAAGAGGGGAGATTTGTGTTGTATGTGTGTGTGTGTGTGTGCATGCACAAGCTTTAGCTAGTTCCATAATTTGTTTAAATAGTAAATATTAATCTAAGATTGTTTTCCCATTAATTTACAATAACAAAATTGATAGTTGTCATTCTGGGTTTATTTCCCTAATATCCATCACAGCAATTCACTCTCTATTCCTGACCTATGAGTTTCACACCTGAAAAATACATATCAAAGTAGAAAAAAACAAAGAAACACAGAGAATATTAGTTATAAGGGACAAAGGAGATAGTATCACTGCCATTCACATTTTTGTTAACTTCTAATGACTGGTAATACCCAATAAGAAATTGTGTATGTGAAGACACCTAGTGAAATTCATCTGTAAGAAAAACAGAATGGTTATAAACATTTACTTCACAGACTTCACAAGTGAAACTTAAGTGTCAAAAGTTACCTGTTATATTTTGGCAGAATTTAAGTCATCATTTCTTAATTTTGTTATTTGGTTTAAATAACCAAACATAAATATTATGAAACAAAGCTTGTACTGTGTTACAAAACTGATAAAATCTGACTCAACATTTTTCTCAGGACATTGATTTACCATTTACTCTTTGTGATCCAGTAGTGAGGGGTGTACTGGTCAGGCGTCTCTATTAAATATTAAACATGGAATATTACTTGCCCTGGTACTGAGACCTTACAAATGGCAATCTTTGGAACACTGTAACTGAACAATACTGCCTCCGATGAATCTACACAAATCATAAAATCAATTCCCTTTAGTAATTGTAAACCATCCTTTCTTCAAGTGAAAGATAAGGACTTAGTAAAAATATCTCGGCAAATCTTGACTTTCATTCTTGCTTCATCTAGATTGACTGAGGTGCTTCTAATACAGATGTTAAAGTCAGTCCACACTAAGACTTTGATAGCCCTCGATTTTCACTTAATTAGCTTGTCTAAATGAGCAATCCAGAACTTTGGGAGGATGAGACGGGAAGATGGCTTAAGGTCAGGAGTTCAAGACCAGCCTGGGCAACAACGGGTGACTCCATCTCTACCAAATAATAGAAAATAAAGCCAAAGTGTATGCAAAGTTTATGTAAAATTTAACACACGTATTTTATACTGACATAGATTTTTAAAAGTATATGTAACTATAAATTGCTTGTCTCACCTATTCTAGTTAATAATTGTATAGGAAGGCTAAAGGTTTGAATATGGGTTATGAACACTTAACTATACCATGGCTTTAACCATTGGTGGCTGATGTTCTCATATCCTTAAATAATAGTTTGCGTCAGGACTGACTTTGATTAGATAAGACTATTACTTATTGACTTTCTAATGCAACACAAGCTTCTTCCTTAAAACTTTCTCAGTTTTGGCCGGGCGTGGTGGCTCATGCCTGTAATCCCAGCACTTTGGGAGGCAGAGGTAGGCAGATCATGAGGTCAGGAAATCGAGACCATCCTGATTAACATGGTGAAACCTCGTCTCTGCTTAAAAAAAAAATAGCCAGACATGACGGCGGGTGGGTGCCTGTAGTCCCAGCTACTCCGGAGGCTGAGGCAAGAGAATGGCGTGAACCCGGGGGGCAGAGCTTGCAGTGAGCTGAGATCGCACCACTGTACTCCAGCCTGGGTGACAAAACGAGACTCCTTCTCAAAAAAAAAAAAAAAAAAAAAAAAAAAAAATTCTCAGTTTCAAATGGTCCATTTGGATATTAATATAATTATATAATAGTACTTCTAATTGCAGCTAAGTGATACAAACACTGTGGTTTCCAAAAGACTGAATACTAATTATTAACAAAGAATCTATGAAATAAAAGCACATACTTGTTTAAAATTAGACAGCATATTTAATACATTTTATTTATCATGAAATCCATATTTTATTTAATGTGAACCTTATTTATATTGATAGAAAACCATTAAAATTCTTTTACATACAGGGATTATTAGCATAGATTTTTTTTCTTATTAGGAATTCTAAATTTCTAATTAAAATACTGGTAAAATGAAGAATATACATGTACTACATTGACAATTTGTTCTATAGTTCGTTTTTCTATAGTATAACTGGGCCTTAATTTTACAGAAATATGTATAAAGATTTTAGGTAGCCTCTCTAAATCCATAAAGAATTGCTTTGTAATTAAAGTAAATTGATGCAACAAATTAAATAAATCAAAGAAAGGCAGAACTCAAGGAAAAAATAGCTATCATAATTTTCGTGGGACATATTTGAATAGATTGAACTTCCAGTTTAAATGAGAGTAGTTAATGACTATTGATAATAACATTTCTTCCACATGTGTTTCTACACAATATATGGGTCATGAACATGTAATAAGTAACAGGCCGATGTTTTGAAATGGTACCAATTGAGAGTCTAAATCTTGAGACTGAGTGAGAAGAATGCAGTGGTACCGTTTCTCTCTTTTATGAAGCAGTAATGTTTGGGTGAAACTCTACACCTGTGGAAGGAAAAAAAAATATCAACATATGACAGCATTCATTTCAGTAATTTGGGCAGTGTCAGTTATGTATGCTGAATATTAAATTGTTATAGCTATTTTAAGTGCAAAAACTTAGAACTCTATTTGTAAACATGATACATTCTAGAATTCTAGCAATGTAATAGCTCTGACTTCACCAATGTAAGAACTCTGGTAATTTACATTAACATGCTTTTTCTCAATAGGGACCTACGAGAAAATTACTGCCGAAATCCAGATGGGTCTGAATCACCCTGGTGTTTTACCACTGATCCAAACATCCGAGTTGGTTACTGCTCCCAAATTCCAAACTGTGATATGTCAAATGGACAAGGTAATAGCTGACATTCTGCAGGGTGGGCATGATTAAATTCAGGGGAAATGCCTAAAGGGAGGCCACATTTTACAGCATAAAATCTACTTCTTGCTGCACTGGTTTTGCTGGCTAGCAAACAAAATCACCAAGTTTGAAGCTGGGTTTTTCTTATATGTTTATTCACTCAACATTTATTTATTTAGCTGAGTGTATGCTTCTGACAGTCACAGTTCTAAGCCTTGGAGATATACCAGTAAATAAAACTAAGTTATCTGATCACCTGGAGCTAATATCCAACTGATAGAAAATAAGCAAAATAAAAATGAGAATGGGAATATTACAGCAGTTTGTCATAAGTAGTAGAGAGAAAAATGTCTCAGAGTTAGAAAAGAGGGCTGCTGCTCTTTTATATTTTAATGTTCAGGGAAGATCATACTTATTATGTTAACATATAAGAAGGAGCCAAGGGCAGTGAGGGAGCAACATGTGCCATGCACATATATGTGTAAGGGTATTCTAGATAGAGAAAACTGCAAATGCAAATGGTATGAGATGAGGGAGTTCTGGGAAAGTTAAGTAAATAACCACATCACTATAGCTAGTACAAAATAAGTAAGATGAAGAGTAGTAGGAGATGAGATTAGAGAGGCAATTGGGCTAAAATTGTATCAGCCTTTCAGGAATTGCAAACGTTTGTACTTTTGCTCTGAAAGAGAAAGGACTCTTAGGGCTCTGAAAGGAGAAGTTACACAACCAAACTTAAGTTTTAACTGGATCACTCTGGCTGCATTCTGGAAAATAGCTAGAATTCTTGACAAGGGTTAAAACAGGAGAACCAATGAAGTGGTTGTTTCAATAATTCAGACTACAGATGGGAGTGACTTGACCCTGGTTGTTAGCAGTGTAGCTGCTGGATAACCGTGGGGTTTGAGGGAAATCACCATTGCATTTGGAAACATAGATGCCATTGAAGACAACTGTCTCAGGGAGCGGTAGTAAAGTCAGATTGAAATAGATTTTTAAGTCAAAAAAATAATAGATGATGGTGAGGTTGCTGAGAAAAGGAAATGCTTATATCCTGCTGGTGGGAATGTAAATTAACTCAGCCACATGGAGATTTCTCAAAAAACTTAAAACACAACTACCATTCAATGCAGCAATCCCATCACTGTGTCTATACCCAAAGGAATACACATCGTTCTGCCATAAAGACACATGCATGTATATGCCTGCAAAATAATCTATGCACCCAACCCCGGTGACACACAATTTACATATAACAAACCTACCTATGTACCCCTGAACCTAAAATAATTTTTTAAAAAGGTAGATTTTTCAAAGAAATAATTCGTTAAATATTAATAATAATGTTGAGTCCTGGGAATTATTGATGTGTAGTAAATTGAGAGTTATCCTTTTTAAATGATCATATTCTATTTCACATAGACTTAATTGTGATGGTCATGATCACAGTTAGCCCTAAATCATCCTGGAAATCCCAAGCCAAATTTAAAGCTCCATCTCATAGACTTACTGCCCTCTGCATACTTCTTCCATCCTTTAACTTTTTCCACAATGCCATTGTTCGTGAGCAACTCTGAAAAGAGAGTTGTAGAGGGAAGAGGGGATGAGTCCCTTTTCAATCAGTTTCACTGTTCTTTTAAGGGTCAGTTAGAAATAAAGTTGAAGTCAATGATTAAGGGAAGTTTGGTACCAGCTGAGTCTTCTGTGTTCCTGTCTCATACCTGAACATTTGTTAATAATTTGTGAGTGATAAAGGACAACAATTATTTGATAAACTTTTGGTGTATATTAAGATATTTTTATATACATATACATCACTTAAAAAAGATCAGGTAATAGAATATGAAATTTTGGATTCTGGAGAGTAAACATGTTATTGATTATCAGATAATTCATTCATAGGGGAAAATATTAGTTTTATGGAATTTAAGTACCTTTCCTAAATTCTCAAATTGGCACATTGGGATTAAATCTGACTCTCTTTACATTGACCTTTTCATTCTTTCATCCTTTTTTCCTTTCATTCATTCTTTAACACCACATTATATTACTATTCTTTAACAATATATTGCACCATTGCACCTGATATATACAACAAACTGCTAGACTATGGGACAATTTAAAAATAAAGAAACCATAGACCTTCTACTCAAGAAAAACACTGTTAGCTAAATCAACATTCAGCTGTGGAATTTTAACTGTCAGTTATGTTGTTGTTTGACACTGCTGAGCTAATAGTATGTGTTGTTTTATATATCTATAGAAAAATGTTTATATTTATATCTATTGAAAAATACCTAGATCTAAGTAGATAGATCTATCTAATGTTCTAAGTGGATGCTTAGATGTAGGCATTTTTCTAAAAACAGAAAATATAAGTGCTACATATAGTTAGATGAGTGGAAACATTTTTCAAATCTTGCAACATCTGAATTAACATATATATAAATATTCTTCCAACTGACTATTAAAAAACACTATTAAAGAAAAATGAAAACTGATTACAGAATTTCTTTAAAATGTTATAAAACACTACTTATTATAATACTATGTATTATACACTTAAGGCAGTAAACAATATAATTTATTTAAATATTTATATTGATATCATAGAATGTATTTACAGTTATTTCAGTCTTAAAATATATTCTAGTGAGAGTATATACAGTCAGATATACAATCAGAAAATTGTATCCAAAAATCATCTGGATTTTTTTTCCTTCTCTGTATTAATGGTATACATATGATATATACATAGGCATATTTCTGTCTTTATTTCCATCTTTCTGCATATTATTTGTTGAATATTTAAAACCTTGATATTGGATAATAGTCAATACTATATGAAAGGGTAAATTCAGCGAAGTGTCCTTTTCTCTTGCTTCCATGTCATTCCATTTCTACTTTCTACTCACCATTGCAAGTAGATGATTTCATTAATTTCTTGTTTATGGCTCTTGTGTATTTTCCATTCTTTACTTTTTTGGAATATATGTGTAGGTTTGTTACATAGGTAAACTTGTGTCATGGGGGTTTGTTGTACAGATAATTTCATCACCCAGGTACTAAGGCTAGTACTCATTAGTTATTTTTCCCGACATAAAATCTTAATGTTGATGTAAATTTGTAGATGACCTTTCATAGTCAAATGTACAGTTTTCATTCATATAAAAATTAAGAATCTTAAATATAAAAAGTCACTTTAAAAATTTTTGGTGTTATTTAAAAATATAGAGTATTTTTAAAAATAGAATAATTCTTTTAAAATTTGGAATGCAATATATAGATATATAGGGAAAGATAAAATCTTTTTTTTATTTTTTATTTTTTTATTTTTTTAATTTTTTTATTATTATACTTTAAGTTCTAGGGTACATGTTTTATTTATTTTTTTTGAGACAGAGTCTTGCTCTGTCACCCAGGCTGGATTGCAGTGGCATGATCTTGGCTCATTGCAACCTCCGCCTCTGGAGTTTAAGCAATTCTCCTGCCTCAGCCTCCTGAGTAGCTGGGACTACAGGCGTGAGCACCACACCCAGCTAATTTTTTATATTTTTGGTAGAAATGGGGTTTCACCACGTTGGCCAGAACTCCTGACCTGAAGTGATCCACCTACCTCATCCTCCCAAAGTGCTGGGATTATAGGTGTAAGCCACAGCGCCTGACCAACTTACATTTTTTGAAGAACTTGATTTCTGACTGCATTTCTTTTGATTAAAAACTTGAACAATATGGCCGGGCATGGTGGCTCATGCTTGTAATCCCAGCACTTTGGGAGTCCGAGGTGGGTGGATCACTTGAGGTCAGGAGTTTGAGACCAGTCTGGCCAAACATGGTGAAACCCCATCTCTACTAAAAATACAAAAAATCAGCCAGGTGTGGTGATGCATGCCTGTAATCCTAGCTACTCAGGAGGCTGAGGCAGGAGAACACAAATTGCTCAATTAAAAAAACGAGAAACAGAAAACCTCATGGAGCATAGTAAGAGACACAGGAGTCAGTTTAAAGTGGGTTCCATTGGCCAAATTTGGAACAATTTGAGCATCAAAATGAATAACAGGAATAGATTATATATCATATGAAATAAAAAGAAAATCCCCTGGTCCACATTTCATTTACTACTTCTACAGCTAGTGCTAGCACTTCTACTACTAATACCTAAATGAATGGGGTAAGGGAAAAGGGAAATTTTTTATTTACAGAAGAATGCTAACTAACAAATACAAAGAAATGTTAGAAATAGCAAAATAACCATTTTACCATCAGCATGACAAAAGTGTTTCATGCAAAATTCATTGACGTATGCCTAAGCTATTTTGTGAAAATTTGTTTGGCAATAGGATATTTATTCAGACTCAAAGACCCCAACTGATTTTTTGTTAAATACAAAGAGGAGTTTTTCTTTTGCACCACTTAACCAAGTGATCAAACACATCACCAGTGATGGAACAAAGTGACATCATGTGCCACAAGATGTTATGCTCTAAAAAGGACAAAGCATCACTGATGCAATATTCCTGTTAAGTATCTTTAACTTGGTTTTATTCATGAGAAAATAAATCAAACAAACTGACGTTAAAGAGCATTTGTAAAACAGCTGACTTGGGTGACTCAGAATGTTAATGTCATAAAAGACAAAAATCAAAACATAAGGAATGTGACGAGTAGATGAATGCTTGTTATATTACTTTTCTATGGAATGAAATTTTTCAGAAGAAAATGTTGGGATATACATGTGTTATTCTAAAAATTCTTATTTCTTTGTTGTTCCAAGGGCCACTCATTTAAATTATTTTGTTTTTAAATTATTATTTGTTACATTTGAATTTGCATAAACCCTTATTTTGATGAAGATATTGGACTTAAAATAAAGACATTTTAACCTGAGATATTTGAGTACTTTTGATTTGTACAGATTTCAAGTACTTTAATTTTTTTTTTCTTTTTTTTTTTGAAACAGAATCTTGCTCTGTCGCCCAGGCTGGAGTGCAGTGGTGCAATCTCAGCTCACTGCAAGCTCCGCCTCCTGGGTTCACACCATTCTCCTGCCTCAGCCTCCCGAGTAGCTGGGACTACAGGTGCCTGCCACCACGCCCAGCTAATTTTTTGTATTCTTTTAGTAGAGAGAGGGTTTCACCGTGTTAGCCAGGATAGTCTTGATCTCCTGACCTCGTGATCTGCCTGCCTTGGCCTCCCAAAGTGCTGGGATTATAGGTGTGAGCCACTGTGCCGGGCCCTTTCAAGTACTTTAATTTTTATGTTGATTTCATGATTCTGTATACTTGTAAAAAATGTTTTTGTTTTATCTGCCTTAATAGTCATTATATTTATTTCTGTATATTTTATGTCTAGATTGTTATCGTGGGAATGGCAAAAATTATATGGGCAACTTATCCCAAACAAGATCTGGACTAACATGTTCAATGTGGAACAAGAACATGGAAGACTTACACCGGTGTGTAAATTTCTTCCTTTCAAATATATAGAATGTAGTGATACCAACGAATTGTATACTTAGATATGTACATTGCTATTTCTTTCTATTCTTTTATATATCATGGTAAACTAATAAAAACATTAGATTGGTTTTGCTTTACAACTCATCATAACATTGTTTCTCTATGTAGCAAACTTTTAAATATACAATTCAAGTTAGTAGACATTTATTGAGCATTTAGTGTGTGTTCTGTACTGTAATTGCTATCATGGGGAACATCAACAAAAAGTGGATAATATTTTAGTTCCAACCTCTAAGGAGGATACAGTCACATTGACAAAATAATTACATAATTTAATAAGACAGTGTATAATTAAGTGGCAAATCTTGTGTTTGAAATAGTGTATTTTATGGGATTATTGTTTTCATATTTAATAATTGATAGTAGTTTATGACAAATCAATGAATAATTACTCATATATAATTTAAATATCTAAAATACTAAACCTTAACTATTAAAAATGTGTAATGACAGGTTTCCTTATGAACTTTGATACATAAAATTTTCCAATAATTATAGGAACGTATATGTAATTGAAAAAAATCTACAAATTTTAGAGAATTACAGATTTTTACCATAGATATACTCATAGACAGAGAAGGTAGCATCTATTCAGCCCTAGCAATAGTGCTAGTGTTTACAAAATTGTGAAAGCAGTATGACACATAATTGTGACCTAAAGCAGATTTTTCATAAACATCCCAGAGTATATGCACTAGAGTAAAAGAAAAAACAAGTTACAGTCATTTGATCGAGTGTCTATAACATGGCTGCTTTACCTGAGTTATGCCATTTGACCACCACAATCCTATAGGAAAGATTCCTATGTGTGGATAGGAATTTAAGGGCTCAGAGAGATGGAGTGACTTTGCTTCAGTCTTTTAAGTTCCTTATTCTCTTCCAAAATGTACTCAATAGGGGATTATATTGTTTCAATTAATTTACTTCACACAAAAAGGGTAGTTCTAAAATAATGCTGTCCAATATAAAGATAATGCAACTCACAAATGTAAGCGACATATGTTCTGTTAAATTCCTAGTAGCCACTTTTAAAGAGGTAAAAATAAACAGGCAAAGTTAATTTTAATATATTTTATTTAATTCAATATATCTACAGTTTTTCATTTCAATATGTATTTAATACAAAATAATTAAAAATATCTTTTACATTATATTCTCATGCTGCATATTCAGAATCTGGTGTCTGTTTACACTTACAGCACCTGTCAATTTGGACTGGATCAATTTCTCACTAGCCATATGTGGCCAATGGCTACTATATCGACACTGTAGTTCTAGGACTTCAAAGAGCAGCAGAGTTCTGTCCTTTTAGATCTCCCACTCTAGTGTGGGATGCAAGCAAACAGGAAATACCATATGAACACTATGAAAGATAGCATATTTTATGCTATGGGAATGCGAAGAAGTGCCTATTCGGACATAAGTGGTCAGGAAGGCTTCTTAAAGGAAGGGAAATTGACTGGGATGTACATGATGAGTAAGAATCGGGCGAGGGAAGTAGAGGAGGAAGAGGACATTAGACACAAGAAATTGCATGTGCAAAGGCCAAAGCATTAGGTTATTTGAATATAGGAAAAAATTGTGGTTAGACGGAAAGAATGTAACTTGGTCAATGTCCACAGAGAAGGAATTCACAAAGTGAATTTTTTACCTGTTTATTTTTACCTCTTTACAACACCATATAGAGAGTCTTGTAAGCTCAGTTAAGAAATGTAAATTTTATCCTGAAGATTAAAAGGATTTATTAAATAATTTTAAATAAGAATTGGCATGATTAAAATAAATGCTAATTTCAGCACTGCTATTTTTTAAAGCATTTTTAGAAACATGCAGTGGTGGGTGGGGCAGATTGCTCTTACGGACTTGTGAGATATAATTGTTCTCATCTTCTTTCAAAAATGTTGCCTTCAGTGATTTTACATTAGAAGCTTGAAATTTTCATGGTAGAAGTATTTACATGACAGAAATCAGCAACAGCTACAAATAAGGACTCCTCATCTTCATCCTCAACATACACATACCTCAAAGTACTAGTGGGTAAACTTTTACCAGCATGCCACTGAAAATATGGGATATATTTATTTAGAAACTATCAATGGGTCCCTAATAATACTTAATTCATCTAGTTTAGGTTTGACTTTTGGAAACAATTTGTAGGAAATTGATCAAGGATTAAGTCACATGGTACCATTTTGGCTTAAGGACAAACTTTGTAAGTAGGAGATAGAGCATGGCGGTTTTGAGCACTGACTCTTAAAACAGCTGTGGGTTCAAACCCCAGCTCTAGTGTTTGCAAGCCATGTGACATTACACCAATTAGTTGTCCTCTCCAGATTTCAATTTCCACAAATGTAATATGGTATAACCTTAAAGACTGTCTCATAAGATTGGTCTAAGGTTATATCTATAAAGAACCTACAACACAATCTGACATGTAATAAGTACTATATGTGTTTACTATTATTCTTGGTCCGGAAAAATGAACCTTGTTCTGGAAATATAGTCCAAGTTTCCATGTTCAAGCTTTTTAAAGTTTTATTTAAAATGATACATTAATTATATTCAAGCATGGTAGCAATTAATAACTGGAAACAAATTCAGTAAGATGCATAGTTTTAATGACTTTTATGAGCAGTCAGAGTGACCATGTAGAATTGACTTCATTCATGTTATTGAGGTAAATGTAAATATTGATGCTACATGAATGAAAATGGCCGTATAAAATAATTTACAGTAAATTTACAATCTTTGCTTTTCTTTTGTAATAAAGATGTAAATTAGAAATAAAATATTGCTCAGTTATCTGTCAGAAAATAATATTTTATAACCATATTACCCGTATAATTTAGAATTTTAATTATTTAATTAACACATTAATTTCAGTATATCTTCTTATACTCTGTCATAGTGGTATTGCTAGTGATGCTTCATTTGTATCTAAAATGTAAAAAAATACTTGTATAATAGCTTGTATTTTTATGTACTTTATAGTTTTAATCTTTGCCATCTGCTTGCTTTAGACAATGTTTCTCTTATTTCTATGCACAGAAGTATTGTTACCATGCCACTGGGATTCTCAAATAGAGGCAAAATCACAAAATCTAATATGCCAATTATGGAGCCCTCTTTCAGATTTCCAAGTTAGAGAGTCTGCTTCTAAAGTGTAGGAACAGCAGCAGCAACAAAACAAACCTCAAACAAAATAGCTAAAATTCATCCCAAGTAGAAGGTTATGCTGTATCTACAGTGAAAGTAATGTGCTGAGATTGTATCTTTTTGTAATATTTTGTGTCTCTTGGATGGAATGAGCATCTTGTGATGTGCAAGGCCTGTTGTTTCCGCAGTCATATCTTCTGGGAACCAGATGCAAGTAAGTTGAATGAGAATTACTGCCGAAATCCAGATGATGATGCTCATGGACCCTGGTGCTACACGGGAAATCCACTCATTCCTTGGGATTATTGCCCTATTTCTCGTTGTAAGTACAGTTAGGGATTGGCGTCTTATGAAATATTTTAAATATACTACATTTCATCTAAAAGTTGTAAATAATATAGGCGGTCGGGCATTTATTCCCAAATGAGGAAGCTCTCCAGAGAGCAACACTCACAAATGCACACAACACACACGCAGACACACCACATGGTCTCTTTCTCTCTCTCCATCTCTCTTATAGATAAGAAGAAATTTAACATTTTAAAGGAGATTCTCTTCCCTCAGAAGATTTCCATTTGGATTCCAAAAGCATTAATTGCCACAGTTCTAATATGACTGGGCTAGAAATAGCTCCCCAGTCCCCAACACCAATACTACCTGTTCGACTTCTGAATATAGCAGAGCTCTCAGCAAAGTTCTCAGCCCACTAAAAGAGCCATGAGCAGATCTGAACTAGTGGTACTTCTATTTCCTTCTCAGTTCTTTAACTTAAGACTAAAGAAGAGCCTGGAGTTTTCCACCCAGTTACCTGATTCCCAGATGACTTTGTTAAAAGGATATTAGTGCATAGAGTAAAAGTTATATAAAAAACATGTAATACTTGTTTGACATAGTTCATATAAAATACATGTCTGGTATAATTCATGTTAAAAAGTCCCTAGATATCAATAAGAAAAAGATGTGAGAACTCAGGAGAAAAAAGTAGAAAATAAGTCTTCAAGAATATAGCTAATAAATAAATGAAAAGACATTAAAATGTATTAATAGGAAAAAAAATTTTAAGACATGAGAAGTCACTTCTACCTGTCAGGTTAGCAAATAAAATGATTGTAAATATCCAGTATTAGTGAGGACCTGGGTAATCAGGTTGTCTCAATTCTGTGCTACTTAGAGTGTGAATTCAAAATCCTGCTTGGAAGTCAGTTTGATAAAATGTATCAAAAGCAGTAATAATGTTGACATAGTCAGGATTTTTGCGCCTCTGCACACCGACATTTTGGGCTAGATGCTGTTCTGTGCATTGTAGCATGTTTAGTAGTATTCCTGGACTCTATCCACTAGATGCCAGTAGCATGACACCTGCCCCAAGTTGTGACAATCAAAACTATCTCAAGTCATTGCCAATGTTCCCTGGAGGGCAAAATCATTTCCACTGGTAACCAGTGATATAAAGTAATATGTATTGGCATGGAAGTATGTCTTAAATATGTTATTGAGTGAAAAGTCCTTTTTATAAAGCTGTGCCAGTAGAGAGAGACCATTTTACTATACTATGTATCTGTAACTCTATGTTTACCATAAACATCCTTTACCACAATGTTAAACCACCTTCTCTTTAGAAAGGAAATACTTTTATAGTTCGATAAGAACTTTGTTTTAAGAATGTTTTTCTTGTGAGACCAGCCAGTAGTAGCAAGTACCTTGAGAACAGCAGCAAAATTGTCTACTCTAAAAAGAGAGATTAAATTGAAGAAATAATACGTTGCTTTTAAAAAATGAAATACAAACACAAGTCTATGTTTTTCTAGAATTTCTGTCAAATTAAAGTGATAAATTTCACCTTAAATGGAAATAACAGTCGTGTTTTATGAAATTCTAGCGTTAAAGGCAAACTTTTAAAATATGATGTTAATCAAGTCTACCTATAATTAAGACTTGGAGCTGCTCCATCTATTTTTAATAGGTTGGGAAATTCTCTATAAGAATAAGTAACTGAATATATTATATGCTTGCAAATAAATGGCATTTCTAATAAGTTTATTTTCATATTATCAGCCATGATCATAGCCTTTCAGATTAATTTGTTTTCCTAATGTTCTTCACTTTTCCCATATTAAGGTTGACACAGCCCCAATGTTAATACTAAAAGAAACACACCTATCTTTTCAGAGAATGCCATACAAAAATATTTAAAAATTATTAAAAGATTATTATTTTTCTAAGTACTAGTTTTATAGCAATATGTTTTTTGTTCAGTCTCTATGTTTGAGACTAATGGAGGCTCATAAAATAGACAATGGTGTAGGAAGAAGGAAAAAGGTAATTATCTGCCTTCTAAAACAGGTTATTTTGCTTCCTCTACAGATTTCCAGACTTTTTAAAGACCACAGCAGCTCTATCTAGCACACATGCATGGTTAACAGTGAAATGTCCTGTAGAATCTCAAGGCACTGTGATTTGGTTTATAATCACAAACCAAGGGAGCCAGGACTCTAATAATTTACAAGTTTTCAAAAAATTTTTTCAACTAATATTTTTAAACTAAAAGTAATGTGCTGTTGAAAGATTTGAGGGGGTTACTAGTATTTGATTAAATGCTATTGCAGATAAATCATTTTATTTCAATGTATACCACACATTAATTTCAATAAAGATTTTTACACTGTCATTTTTCTAACTAATATTTATAGCCAGGATTTATTTACATTTTCTCCCTGGTGAAAGGGTAATAATATTTATCTTTAGAAGATTTGAGTTCTTATTATTTATATAACTGCAGAGACTGTATAAATCATTTTCACACTGTAAAATTCTCTTACAAAATATGTAAAGGTTTTTATTCTTTTTTTAACATGCTTACAAAATAATATTTTACATATTTTTAAGTTTATCAAATATGCAAACATAAAAATGAAGAGATGCCTATATGATGAGTATACAAAGACACAGTTGGTATACTATTTTAGAAAAATCTTAATTAACTACCAAGAGCATAGTGGTTAAGAACTTCAGTCCACATTTCCTAAGAATGACAGACCCATCACTTTTAAGTATCTTGGGCAAGTTACTAAACCCACTTAGGACTCATATTTGTATTTGCAATATTTTATAATAAAAGTACCTATTATATGGGGCTATTGTTAACAGTGTCTGTTGCATAGTAAACAAAGCCTTAACTTCCATCTCCGTTTTTATTTATTCATTCATTATTGTTAATTGAGCTGCTGTTGTGTACAAAGCCATATTTAACAGACTACATTTATAAAAATACAAACGTTGCTTCTTAATTTCAAATAGTTCATAATATAGAAAGGAGACATTTATGTAAACAATTACAAAGCAATATAATCGGCCGGGCGCGGTGGCTCACGCCTGTAATCCCAGCACTTTGGGAGGCCGAGGCGGGCGGATCACAAGGTCAGGAGATCGAGACCATGGTGAAACCCCGTCTCTACTAAAAAATAGAAAAAATTAGCCGGGCGCAGTGGCGGGCGCCTGTAGTCCCAGCTACTCGGAAGGCTGAGGCAGGAGAATGGCGTGAACCCGGGAGGCGGAGCTTGCAGTGAGCCGAGATTGCGCCACTGCACTCCAGCCTGGGCGACAGAGTGAGACTCCGTCTCAAAAAAAAAAAAAAAAAAAAAAAAAGCAATATAATCATGTAATATGTATATATTGACAATATATAAAATGAGAATGTGAACATAGATTTCTTCACAGAGAAATACATGATGTATGTAAACTTTTGAAATTGAGTTAAAACTTTAAGAAGAGTGGAAGAAAGTTTTCTTTATGTTTTCAGAAAAAGTTCATGTTTGGTTCTGAGGCCATACAAACACACACACACACACACACACACACACACACCCCTACTCTTCCATAGGTAAAACCTTTATCATTGACGTGTTTTCTCTCTTCAAATTTAAATTGAACCAATAAAAAATAAGTATTGTATCACGTATATTTTTTAGACATGAGTCTGAAAGTAGTGTGGTATAGATAGTGTAGTATAGATAGTGGTGAAAGTAAAGGAAGAAAAGTGAGAATAGAATTTGGTAGTGAAATGGAAAAGGCCTAGAAAGTAGTTTTTCAAGTTTTACTCCAGGTATGCAACAGAAGAACCTAGGATGCTTGCTAAAAATGAAAAGTCCAGCTACCAACCCAGAATCCCCAGAAATTTAATTTTAAAAGGTATTTCAGTTTATGCTAAAGTGTGAGAAATATTGGATTAGAGAAAGGAAAACATGTACATTACTCTTAATTATTAAAATCCCAAATTTATAGTATCTACAATTTTTTTTTTTTTTTTTTTTTTTGAGACAGAGTCTTACACTGTCACCCAGGCTGGAATGCAGTGGCACGATCTCGGTTCACTGCAACCTCCACCTCCTAGATTTAAGCGATTCTCCTGCCTCAGCCTCCCAAGGAGCTGGAATTACAGGTGCCTGCCACCACACCTGGCTGATTTTTTGTATTTTTAGTAGATTCAGGGTTTCATTATGTTGGCCAAACTGGTCTCGATCCATCTGCCTCAGCCTCCCAAAGTGTTGAGATCACAGGCGTGAGCCACCGCGCAAGGCCATATCTACAAATTTTTACAACTAAATATATTGTAAGATACAATAGTTAACTAAGCACTTTGTTGACCTATTAGCTTAATGCTTACAAATAAGAGACTTAATATACAAGTAAAGATAGAACAGTCTTTCTCATCACAAAATAAGAAATAAATATCTACTTATTTAACATTTTCAAGTATTTGACTTACGTGGAAAACCAATATCCTTGATGTTTTTGTTACCATAGTCGGCCTCAATCTTAACTCATACTTAAGAACTAAAACATTGTCCTCAGCTGACTGACAAACCCTCCTCTAGGATAAGCTACAGGGAAAGAGAAATGATGAATTTTGTATGTTCACCATTAACCTATTCATTTAAAATATCTAGATCTGGAAAATGAGCAGAAATAAGTATGTATTAATTCTCACAACTATCATCATAAATAACAATCACATTGGTGTCTATTACAAAGGAATCCATATGCATTATTGGTTTGTTGCTGGCTTATTTGAGCTCAGGGCATTTCCAGGGATTAACAACCATCTGGGTGTAAACACTGCCTAACTGAACTCTATGCCATCAATTCTGAATAGTCAGACATTAAGCTCCAGGAAATGTCTTGTGTCTCATTCATTACAGCATAAGTATTTCCAAATCCTCATATCTTCCAAGCCTTTATCTTATTTGTGGCAATTAAGCCCCAGTAGAGATGAAAAAGTAGTAAGCTACAGGTTTTAATTAGAATTAAGTTGTAGTTTTCAGTGTTCTCTTTTTTCCATATTTTTTTACTAGCATCTGGAAAAAACAACCCTTGAAATATTCAATTAACAAAGCATAATTATATGGTGTTACTCCTCTTTTTCCACTAGTGACATTGATTTCTATCTTCTAGAATCCTTGCAGAGATTTATGAAGTTTGTGTAGTTGCAATTATCCTTAACCATATAAAACTAAAAGTTTTCAGAAAAAAATTAAATGATTCAAATTACAGAAGCAAAATGGCCTATCAATATGAAGAGTCCAAGTAGACGATAATGAACATGAGTGCTATTCAATGGAATGTTCATTGTGTAGGATGTTGGACATCCTGGTGGATCGAGGCAGCTCCTTGATGATGGCAATGTAATTCAAATGGCCAGTGATCATTAAAACACACACCTGAGAGCCTCCACAGTCATAAAATAGGGCTCTGCTCATATCACCTAGTACCAGAGGGCATATACGTACAATATTATCCAGTAAAAATGATGCATAATTACTCAAAACAGTTTACGTTTCATCTCTGAATAAAATGTCAAGAATTTTAGTAAATTGGCCAGATATGGTGGCTCATGCCTATAATCCTACCACTCTGGGAGGCTGAGGCAGGTGGATCATTTGAGGTCAGGGGTTTGGGACCAGCCTGGCCAATATGGTGAAATCCCATCTCATTCAAAATACAAAAAGTAGCTGGGTGTGGTAGTGTGTGCCTGTGGTCCCAGCTACTTGGGAGACTGAGTCAGGAGAATTGCTTGAACCTGAGAAGGGAAGGTTGCAGTGAGCTGAGATAGCGCCACTGGACTCCAGCCTGGGTGAGAGAATGAGACTCTGTCTCAAAAAAAAAAAAAAAAAAACAAAAAAAAAAAAACAAAAAAGAATTTTAGTAAATTATTGAATTCATTGATACTTGGATTTTAATATATATTTGGTTTTATATAACAGATGTATGCATGTATGAATTATGTATTTATCTACACATTTATTTTTACAGGTGAAGGTGATACCACACCTACAATAGTCAATTTAGACCGTAAGTAATCTTTCACAATGTGAAGTATATTCTGAGTCTCTCTCTGAGTGTCAGAAATGTTATTATTTCTTTCAAAGAAAATTATCTATATTAGCTTTCATTATAAAAAGTTAATCTATTTATTTTTACTTTTTAAAATATATTTTTCTATGCGTAGATGTAAAGGAGTTTCAAAGGCAACTGCATGCTGAATATGAAAATTCAATTCTCTTTCAAAAAATCTATAAGATGGTATATGTGATTTTGAAAAGAGTGTTTATATTTATTTCTAATTTGGGGCACAATGTATATAATGGACCACCTCTATATATACCATGCTTTAATAAAATTGGGATGCTGAAATCAGGAAGAATGAAACCCGAAAGTTGGAAAGTTATTCAGTGCCTCTAATATTTGTAAACTTCTCTGCAGGCCCTACAGTCCAGTGGGCACGAGATGACACAATCTGAGATATTCAGTTAATCCTCAGTTTAAGAATCTGTTGGCGGCCACTTGTATTTTATTTTCACATAGCTCTTGAGCTGAAGGAAGTTACTCAAGTGTTTTTGATTTAAAATACCACCTGCTGTGCCCCAGGCTCAGGAAGCAAATGGAAATCTATTCTAGACCATGGGCAGAAGTAGAGCGGATAAGACGAGGAGCACAGGGGAGGGTCAGGAAAACATTTACTCCAATGAATTTTGTATTATGTCTTTGGACATAAGGATTTGAATATAATAATTATATCATTTGGATATGATTTCAATAAATCAAATGTCGGTAAGACATATCGAATAAATCTACAATCTAACTGTACAAATTCAGAAGTAATATCCAAGTAAAGCTTGGTTTTGTTTTTTTCACTGAAGCTATTGATTTCTACTGACCTTTAGAAATAATCGTTGTAAATAACTTTGGTTTATTTTATGTTGAAGGTGGTGAGGGATTAGATCTGAGGAGCTTGGTGTTAGTGGATTGTGAGCAAAGACACTGTCACTATCATGGCAATCCTGTCTGCTTTGAGTTGATTTGTTTTTCTGAGTTACTCAGCTTCTTAGATGAGGATGGCATGTGTTAAGGGCTTAATATAATGCTGTGGTCATATAAAACTACTCTTTCTCCAAATTGTTCTTTGGACACAATAAGAATAGTTACATTTATCTAATTATCATTGCATTTAAGAAAACTAAGAGGCACTGATTATTTCAAATTCCTATTTTAAAATGTTGTGTTTGGTCCTGTTTTAGATCCTGTAATATCTTGCGCCAAAACGAAACAACTGCGAGTTGTAAATGGGATTCCAACACGAACAAATGTAGGATGGATGGTTAGTTTGAGATACAGGTAATTATTAATAGATGCAAATCATGCATATCCAGAATATGTGCAAGAGTCATATTCCCCAAAATATGGACACGTGGTCGTGAAGGTTGTAGCCTCTACGGGGCACCTGGGTGAGGCAGTAAAAGAGGAGCCTGATCACATTCTGCTTGCCAAACTGTAAGCCCCGGACTGCAATCTGTGCCTCCAGAGGTAGTGCCTTTTTAAATCTTCACAAAGGTCCCATATGTGTTGGCATTGTCCCTGATTCCAAGGGACACTTTGGTTCTGATTAAGCAAAATATTATTGAAGCCCTATTATTACCATAGTCATTATTATACTTGTTATTAAATTTCCAATCTAGGATATTATGGGTTTATTTTCTAATATGTTTATGCATCATCATGTCAAAACATTTATTTTTGTTTTTAATTTCTGACTTTTTCCTTGTCAATCAAAAGAAAAGTGGCGATTTTAAATTCTAGAGCATTTTATCATTACAAAAAGGCCAACAGTTAAATAGTCGTGATATTACAATAATCAGTGGGGATACAAAATTCTTGATATATCTATTTCTCAATGCTCTTAAGAATCAATGATATGTTCTACATAAAATCACTTTGCAAATCATATTGTTAGAGAAAATTAAGCTTAATAATTATGTCATAAAAATTAAGATTGAAAATATTAGTTAACTTAAAATCTGATCTTGGAACTTTCATATACTACATATATTATTCTGTATGTTAATCGGAATGCTAAAATATTTATGTTTTGGCTATCTCTATCAGAACCTTGCCATGCAACACACCCCAAGGTACATCTGAATTTGAACACATTGTCTCTTGTTTTCTAGATACCTCAAATTTCTTCCTCCAAGCCTTTATTCTGTTGTTCCTACAGCACATTGTGGCTTTCTTCCTCCATGTTTTATGCCTGAAAATTCTTTCTCCTTCTTCAAATTTCGACCTAAATATCCTCTCTTTTAGAATACCCTCCTGTTCCCTCACCCCTAGCCTCCTAGAGTAGAGAAAAAGAAAGTATGTGTGTTACTATTATTAAGTCACAGTGACATTAGAATAGAGACAACTTGAAACGTAAGTCCTTTTATGAATAAACCAATTATTGGAAAGCAAGAGTTTATATCATTTGATATATGTGACTTTAGATGACCATAATGTTGTAGGAGATGGCCTGAAGTTATTTTTTAGTATACCCTTTTCTCAAGGAATGGCTCATCAGATTTTACAAATATTTATGCCAATAATTGTCGTATAGCTGTCCTAGGTGTGTAGTACTAAAACAGAATTGTGAAACTAACCAGAATATTAAAGCTGAGTGTGCAGTATGAGGATTCAGTAAAGACTTTAGAATTCTGTTGGAGTGTTTAATTTTCTTAATTATAGAAAATATTTCAAGAGGCCAAGTGTGGTGGCTCACAGCTATAATCCCAGCAGTTTGGGAGGCTGAGGCAGGTGTATCATTTGAGGTCAGGAGTTCGAGACAAGCCTGGACAACATGGTAAAACCCCATCTATACTAAAAATACAAAAATTAGCCAGGCATGGTGGCGGTGGCACACGCCTGTAATCCCAGCTACTGAGTGAGACTCTGTCAAAAAGGAAAAAAAAAAAAAAAGGAAGGAAGGAAAGAAGGAGAAATCTTTAAATAATCCACATTTGAGTTAATTGGTGATTTTTTGCTTTCCTTATAACCCCAGAGGATAAAAGAAGACATACATTAATACTTCTAAATTATTTTTTCTAGTAAGAGAATTCACAAGGATACAGCTTTGGTCATCTCCATTTTTGGAGAAGCAGGTGAAGCTATTTTTCCATCAGATTAGAGTACTGTAAATTTTTAGTTTTTTTCCTTTTTAAATCCAAGTTCTTAGCAACAACAGCTGCTTAGTTATTCTTCCCAAACTCATACCGAGAAGGATAGAAATTAAAAGTCAATATATATTCTTATCCTCCTGTGTGGTAAAGGCCATAAATAACTGTGGTCTCAGTCTGGGAATCTTCTAGTATTACCCTCTGAAGCACTGAACATCTGTACTCTTTGGAAATGTAAATTGTGAAAAGTTGTACTTTTTCCATGTCTCTGCCAAAAAAGAATGGATTTACAGATTTTGGATATCATCAAATAAATGTACTAGTACTCATCATACTCTACAAATATTTTACAATTTCCTAAATAATTTGCCTCACAAAGTTGTTTTACTTTAGAGATGAAATATTATATTCCTGATCTTATACTGGAGAAAGTAATTTATTCAGATTCGGTTATATTTTAAGTTAATATATCAAAACTACATAATGGTAGTAGAAGAAGGAAATAGTGCACAAATAAAATTGCTACCACTGGATGGTTTTCAGGGTTCAAATAGGAGCTCAACTTTGCATTTTTAATAAGCAAACACTGAATTTAAAATAGGTTCACAGTTTTAAAAAATTATAATTATTCTATGTTTGTAGTACATACTTTCCTCACAAGGATAGATGCACATACACACGAATGTGTACGTTCGGGATGGCTATTGATGTGTAATAACTGAGTTCTTTAGGCTACACAAAAGTAAAATTGATTTTATAAATTTGTAGTCACATTATGAAAAAAAAGTTCTAATGCTACAATCACCAAATATCACCCTTCAGATAAAAGAACTTCTCATTTTATTCCAATTGGATTAATTTATATATTTTCTTCTGCAGTGCATTTATTTTTAACAAATGGAGCCACAGGCTTTGCATTAATTGGCAGTCACTCTTTCTGCACAGATGTTACGTGTTTCTCTTTCCTCTTTTTCACAGAAATAAACATATCTGCGGAGGATCATTGATAAAGGAAAGTTGGGTTCTTACTGCGCGACAGTGTTTCCCTTCTCGGTAAAGTGTTTTTAAAACTAGTATTATTTTGAGCCTTTAAAATTTATATGTCTTCCACTTTGCTCTTAAGGTTATAATATGTATTCATTTTACAGAGATTCACCAGTGGGGTGAACAAATTATTTTATTTTTAGAATTTGGCTTACAAAACTTACTTTGACTTCACTGATATTTACAAGACACTACTTCAATTCACCTCTTTTCACAATTAGCATTACTCTCAGTTGGGGAAAAATTTTGCTAGAATTATGTAAATATTTTATATCCCAACTTTCTACTTGTACCCTGTATTTCTGGATATAATTCTTTTTTATTTTCTAAATTATCAATAGGCTTTTTCCAATCCTCACTGCTTCTTTCTCCTGTAGAGTCAGCCTCAGGATCATCCTGGGCATAATTTTCAATGAAAATTGGCCTAAGGAAAAGATAAAGAGGCAGCATTCGTAAACTTCCTTTCTGCTTCTCAGCAAGGTCACTTTGATTTTGTTTGCAGAAAAACTTCAACACCTGTTACCAAACCAAATATATACATAGCTGATATAAACAAAACAAAATTTGCAGAAAAAATTGTAATTCATGTAAAGTGCTTTACCTGAGCATTTTTCACAAGTGACTTACTCTAGCAAGCATAAGCAAGTTTCTAAAAAGTCATTTAGAATCTCAGCAACTTAAAAGCCTCTTTCTGCTTACGTATGTTTGTAGTATTCAGAATCTCCCATAACAAATGTGTTGCTCTTTATTATACTATGAATCAAATTTTAAATTTAGGTTATGTGCCTTAATAGTCTAAAATAACAATAGATAGGAATAATACTACAGAATTTGGAATTACTATGTTTTACATTTAAAGTTTTTTCCTTCAAAACAGAGACTTGAAAGATTATGAAGCTTGGCTTGGAATTCATGATGTCCATGGAAGAGGAGATGAGAAACGCAAACAGGTTCTCAATGTTTCCCAGCTGGTATATGGCCCTGAAGGATCAGATCTGGTTTTAATGAAGCTTGCCAGGTTAGTTACTTGAGAAGATTTTGTATTTTTCACCTGGACTAGAATTGTTGGAGCATTTTCTTCAGCTGTGTGGCAGTTGTTTCTCTCTCATGCAGATACATTATAAACATATGTCACATGCTATATATATGTATATATGTGTGCCTATGGGTCTTTCTGTGTGTATAGAGAGAGAGGTATTCACAAAACTGTAAAAAATGAATAACTAACATTGGGCCAACAGTCTGATCAGTCTGTTTTAAAATAGAAACTTAGCAGTTATTTGATAACTTTTTAATGTAAAATAATTCTTTTTAAAAATAGCATTGACCATTTATTCTTAAATATTGGCAAATACATGACTCATTTCTTTACTACCTGTTCCAAATTTCATCAATACATTTGGACATTTCCACTTCTTTTTTTTAAATAAAGAAACAGGACTTCTCTGTAAATGCCATATTAAACATGAACACTACATTTAATATGTTAATTTTGTGTTGAATCCAGTTGAGAGTATTTACCATTTTATTTTCTGTTTTCAGGCCTGCTGTCCTGGATGATTTTGTTAGTACAATTGATTTACCTAATTATGGATGCACAATTCCTGAAAAGACCAGTTGCAGTGTTTATGGCTGGGGCTACACTGGATGTAAGCTAGTTTTCAAAAGATCAGGCCATATTTATTTTATTTTTGTTTCTTACTTTTCTCACCTTATTGTATGTTTTTTTGCATCAATCCAGTGATCAACTATGACGGTCTATTACGAGTGGCACATCTCTATATAATGGGAAATGAGAAATGCAGCCAGCATCACCGAGGGAAGGTGACTCTGAATGAGTCTGAAATATGTGCTGGGGCTGAGAAGATTGGATCAGGACCGTGTGAGGTAAAAAGGAAGTTCTTTCATAAGGAGGATGTGATTAATAGCTTAGTGTTTCATGGGGGTTTTTTTGTTTATTTTTCTCAAATCAAAAATGTTGTATACCAACTGTTCTAGGAGAGAGGAATTGGGAAAATTAACTCTGTAATATTCTGCATTTCTTTAACTAAACAGTGAGATAATCAATGTTTTATTAGCAGCAAACTATGATGACATTTGTCACTCAAAAATCAATAAGCGTGTAGCGCCGGACCTCCAAGGCAGAGCTATTCAAATGAGAAGTGTCCAAATCAGTTAAATCAATAGTTTGCATTTTTCTGATGTTTTTCTAAATGTATCTCATCTTCCCAAATTATCTCAAAATGAGCTCCATGAGTTATATCATTTAGAGATGCCTGGCTTTAAACTTTAAAATCTCTTTTTGGGTAAGCTGGTCTCTCTTTTGCTCTCTCGCTCTGTGTATGTGTTTAAACATTCTGTTTTAAAAAGCCCAAAGGTCAAAGTTTGTGACTTTATGAGCTTGGACATTTCATTTGTTAGGCAACTGTTATTTCGGCTTGGCAATGTTCCTATCCCTATTATACATAGACAAGCTGTTAAGCTGTTAGTTTAATTAGCTTTTGAATGTGAGAGACATATTCTCCAAGCTTCAGGGCTGTGGGATTGTGGAATGCTGTGTGTGGCAAAGGATGAAATGAGTTCAATGATAGTGAAATGTCCTTTGATATATAGGAAAATGCATGCTGTAAGTATGGAACATAAATATATATTGAAATGCAAGTGCTATACACCTTGCTCTGAGATTTTATTTCTGAAAAGAAGAGAAAATGTTTACTGTTTACTAAGTTAGTTTTTATAACTGCTTAAAAATGATATGGTTAGAAACAGATTACATCTGGTATAACTCCCAATCCTTTGGGTATATACCCAGTAATGGGATTATGCACATGTACCCTAGAACTTAAAGTATAATAATTAAAAAAAATAAAAATTAAAAAAAAAGAAACAGATTACATGTTTATAAACAGTTTCAAATTTGTTGCCTTTCTAGTAAATCATGAACAATGAAACCGTTGTTCATTACAACAGGGGAAAATTTACTAGGAGAAAGAAATGACTATACTTTAAAAAGAAAAAGCAATAAGCATCCCGGAAACACAGAAGTTTCTAAGTAGACCCAACCTTACAGATCATCTAATTATTGTCATTATCAAAACCAATTTGACAACTGCTTTTGAAGAATAGCCTTTAATCTGGATTATCAACTATATATTCTTCATTTCCCTTCTTCAGCTTGATTTATTCATCTCTGTCTACTATATGTGTTGTTTTTAACCTTATTGATAAGACTTGACCTCAAATAGATTCTGCTACTTCTAAAAAATGTATTTATCCTCCAGAATGTTTTAAAAAATATATACGTCACTGGCATTTAAATCAAGGCAATTTAATCACTGAAATAAATTTGAAGGACATACCTCCCAAATGTTTGTATAATAGCAGTAACATCATATTTAGTGAAAGTTTCCAGAGTAAATTACTTTGAGGAGTTTGTGTCAGTAATCACTAGTGCATTTGTTTAAAAATCAGTTTTCTTGGACAGGCACAGTGGCTCACATCTGTAATCCCAGCACTTTGGGAGGTCGAGGCAGGTGGATCACGAGGTCAGGAGATCGATACCATCCTGGCTAAAACAGTGAAACCCCATCTCTACTAAAAAAAAAAAAAAAGAAAAGAAAAGGAAAAATACAAAAAATTAGCCAGGCATGGTGGCGGGTGCCTGTAGTCCCACCTACTTGGGAGATTGAGGCAGAAGAACGGCATGAACCCAGGAGGCGGAGCTTGCAGTGAGCCGGGATCGCACCACTGTACTCCAGCCTGGGTGACAGAGCGAGATTCTGCCTCAGAAAAAAAAAAAAAAAAAAAAAAGAAATCAGTTTTCTTTCCTCAGCTGGCATAGTTTATGCAAAGTCTCTTGGAATAAACTATTTGTCTTTACTGTTTAGTATTCTGCTTTCCCCCTAACTTGGTTTTCCCCATCATAGAATGCCAGTGTCTCTCTTCTTTCCCATTTGAATCACAGAAGTTAATTTTGCAGTGGTTTCCCCCGTCGCTGTTGGGGGAAAATTAAGGTAGCTCCAAACACTCTTCTGCATATAAGGATACCAAAAGCCAGCCATTGCGTTCTTAGGAGGCTTCATGGTTCATGAAAGTGGCGCAGCACAGTTGTACTGGTTATATGTAACAATAAGTGCATTGTTTATTTATATTGGCTTCTGATATATTTTTATATATTTATATGAATAAATAAAACCATAGATGAATATATGAATGCATATATATATAACATAAATAAAGCTATCTGTTAATCTTCCATCTATCTCTATCTGACAATGCAACGGGCTTACCATATAAGAAATGCCATGAAATCACAGGATATCCTACAGAAAGGAGGGTATAAAATATAAATATAACTATGTTAACTACTAATACCAGCAGTAAGTGGAGGAATACTCCTTGCTTGGAAAAGCAGTTTCAATTAACAGAATTATTTTATTGACTACAAGTTTTTTATTTAACTTGTTAAAATCATCTGGGGCAGGATTGGGTGAGGCAAATAAAAAAAGGTTTAGAAATAAGATAAAATATAATGCAGTTTAATTATTAAAGTTATATGATTACAAGTTATTTTTTTACTTGTATTTTTGCACATGTTCCAAATTTTCTATACTGAACATAAGAAGATTAAAATAAATATAAAATCTACCTTATTAAATAGGTACCAATGGTTATATGTTAGTCTGCATCCAACAAAGGCAGAGCACACTTAAAAGATGATTGACTATTTTGGAAAAGGCAAGTCATTTTAGGAGAATACTACACATAATAGAACACTTTAAACTTGGTATTATCTCAGTCTTGGCTAATTCAGTAGAAAGTCAACAAATGGTCTAGTACACTAATTTTTATATCTTCATATTTCAGTTGCAGATATTCTCTTTTTCTGTATATATCTCTGAGATGCAAATCTATATACGATAGTGTTAATGAACTATTTTTTAAATTCTTAATAATACTTTGTTTTTGTATGTCTTACTCCTAGGGGGATTATGGTGGCCCACTTGTTTGTGAGCAACATAAAATGAGAATGGTTCTTGGTGTCATTGTTCCCGGCCGTGGATGCGCCATTCCAAATCGTCCTGGTATTTTTGTCCGAGTAGCATATTATGCAAAATGGATACACAAAATTATTTTAACGTATAAGGTACCACAGTCATAGCTGAAGTAAGTGTGTCTGAAGCACCCACCAATACAACTGTCTTTTACATGAAGATTTCAGAGAATGTGGAATTAAAAATATCACTTACAACAATCCTAAGACAACTACTGGAGAGTCATGTTTGTTAAAATTCTCATTAATGTTTATGGGTGTTTTCTGTTGTTTTGTTTGTCAGTGTTATTTTGTCAATGTTGAAGTGAATTAAGGTACATGCAAGTGTAGTAACATATCTCCTGAAGATACTTGAATGGATTAAAAAAACACACAGGTATAATTGCTGGATAAAGATTTCGTGGGAAAAAAATCAATTAATCTCTCTAAGCTGCTTTCTGAGGTTGGTTTCTTAATAATGAGTAAACCATAAATTAAATGTTATTTTAACCTCACCGAAACAATTTATACCTTGTGTCCTTAAATTGTAGCCCTATATTAAATTATATTACATTTCATATGCTATATGTTATAGTTCATTCATTTCTCTTCACCATGTATCCTGCAATACTGGTACACAAACACACTTTTTACAAAACCACATACCCATGTACACATGCCTAGGTACACATGTACATGCACTACAGTTTAAATTATGATGTACCTAATGTAACCTCTAAATATTTTAGAAGTATGTACCTATAGTTTTACCTCAAAAAAATAGAAATCTCTAAAGACCAGTAGAAATATTAAAAAATGATGCAAAATCAAAATGAGTGGCTAATTCTCCATACGTAATCTGCAGATGATCTTCTTTGGTTGACATTTTACATGTGGCCATCACCCCGGGTTAAATAACACCTAATCTAGGTGTTTACATGTATTCAATATCCTAGTTTGTTTTATGTAGTTTCTAATTCTTAAAGGAAAGAGGGTAATAATTCTATTTGTGTAATTTGTTTCCTCCAAACTTAAGGCCACTTATTTACACAAGATATTTGTATGTCTGCTTTCCTAAAGCATTTCTTCAGTGCTCAGATCAGTGTCTAATTGAAGAAGATTAAAACTGCTTTGGTCATTAAAAACGTATTTAAATAGGTTAATTCTAAGACTTGCTGCTGTGATTGACTTCTAGCTCACTGCCTTTAAATTTTAAAAACTTTAAGAGGAAAATTTTCATGTCTCCAAAGTTTTATAAATACCCTTCATCAAGTCATGCATTAAAGTATATATTAGAGAAAAAAATAAAAACACTTTTCTCAACCTGGAAGATTTTAGCCTAATAAAATTTTTTTGAAGTAAAAGAAAACTTGTAAAAGGAAAGAAACTAGTTTGTCTAAACTCTGTATTCATTTTTTTTTTTTTTTTGAAGTACAGTGGAATCTGTTGAATCAGATATTTTATCAAGATATCATTATTTTTTCTTATTTCATTTTACAAAGATCACTCCCAATGCCATATGTAATAGACATTTAAATTCCGTGTTCTGTATAACAGCCAAATGATCATATTTATCATTGTATTTGTCATGTTTAGCTAAAAATCATGTATTGTTGAGAAATAGAATAACAAAAAGTAATAGGATAGGCTTTGAATTTTTGCAAAAAAATCTTCCTGTACAAAACATCTTTAAAAATAATTTTTTGAGTGGTGTGAATCCAGTATTCCCATTTCTCTGACTTAGTTTTCTTGAGTGATTTTTATCAAGGCTAAGTCCCCAAATGATTCCCTAACAGCTCTTTAGAATACCGTTTAATCTGGACTAAAATGGTTTTAAGTTTATGGAGAGTTTAGTCCACAGAACTAACTGGACTTCTGGCGGCAAGTCCAGAAATGCTTATACAAAATTTTTTTTCATAATAAGATATGTGCTGGTATCAAGGAATTTAAAGTGGAAGCAAAAAGACATCCAACTAGTTACTAGTCTCCATCATCTTATCTGATTGTATTTCTCTTTTCCTTATATAATACACCATTTTCGTAAGAACACCTAGAAATTTCAAGAGTATATTGCCAAAATATAAAGTATATTTCATAGTTTCTTCTGGCTGAACCAGTGAAATTTTATTGTTGCATATTAATGATATTTTTTAAACTTTTATTAAAATTGTCATACTTTTAAATACTCACATTTTAAAAATACTTCTTTTATGACTCTTCCTCTAAATTTCCTGCAAATACAGATAAAGATTAGCTAGATACAAGATGCAGCTAAGTATTTAGACATTTTGAGCCCAGTATTTTTCATTATATTAAAGACTAAAAACAATACCACCAATAAATCATCAAACAAACTGTACAAAATAATTCTGTCTTTGGGAGGCTCCTTTTGTGATAGAGGGACATGGGTGGAATTGACAATGAAAGTTAGATGAACAAGGTCCATGTTATTTTAGGTAGTAGAACAGGGTAGAGTCATGTCATTATTTGCGGGCGGAAGATACTATTTACCACGTGTTCTTTGCTGAATAAATTATTAAACATTTTTAAAAATCCAATTATCCACTTTATTTTGTGTCATTGACAAAAGGATCTTTTAAATCAGAGGTTTCAATGTGATTTTTGGTTTGGCTGTTTGAATAATGGTTATGTACTGTTATAATTGTAGACATTTTCTCATGTCTACCAGGAATTGAAGTGTAAAACTAAAATATTTTTCATAATGCCTCTGCCGTGCGGAAGGAATGATAATCCTTTTGTATACTTCTTTAATTTTATTGTAAAATGTGTAATGACTTTTACCTATATGCTGTGGGCAGGTCCTCAGTAAAATCTATTGAGTCAATTTCTAGTATAACAGGCTTTTGCTTGCTATCTAAGTGTTTCAAATTATGGGAAGTGTGAGACACTGGAAGGCAAGAAAATTAACAATAATGGCATGTGATAGCAAAATTGTATTTCACTTATTCCTGTGAATATTTCTTGTTGGTACCAATGGTACTGTACAAAGTGAATGTTATAGCCACAACATTCTCTTGAAAAGAACACTGTCAAGAAGTGGGAAATTGCTGTCAGGCATTTCGTTGTTGGTTTTAAACTTTTTTAAAAAGAAATACTGGTTTTGCAAGATAGAGATCATGAGGTAAAGAATTTTAATAAGCTCTTATACTAAAAAGCCTTAAATCGATTTACTGAGATTCAAAACATACTATTATAATCAATTATATCCCATATATGTAGGCAAACTCATTTAAAAAATAAAATTAATTTTGGTAAAAGTACATAGTGTTTGTTTTTAAAATACATAATTTTAAAATAAATCACTTGTCATGATAAAGTCCAAAAAGAAGTTATCTTTCAATATTCAACTAAGTTTGAAGCTAAGAATTTACTAATAGAAAAAAAGTTAAAATGTTTTGGACCATATATATCTTGACAGTGTAACTTTTAAGTAGGCTCATTTCCATTTGCACAGAAGGTTTCTGTCTTTAGGAAACTGAAAATGAAATACTGTGGATGTTATGACTGTTTGTCTTCTATGTAAATAGGAAATTAATAAGCTGCCTATTGAGTGGTATAGCTGTATGCTTACCCAAAAAAGGGAACACTGTGGTTATGACTTGTATTATAAACTTTCTGTAGTTAATAAAGTTGTTATTTTTATAACCATGATTATATATTATTATTAATAAAATATTTTATCAAAATGCTCATTTTCTCTGTTATAATTATTTACATGTACATATTTGTATCTGTCTTATGGCTTAAATGCAGAAAATAGCAACAACGACTTCACTGACAAAAATTACATATACGTTCTTGCAAAAAATATAACTTGTCTATAGAACTAAGACAAAAAGTATTATTTTATTCCAACTAATATTCATAACAATATAGATGGTCTTCAGTAAACCATTAATCTCTATGCACTTTAGTTTCTCCTACTGTAAAATGTAACTACTTATGCATTCTTCATATTTGCTGGAATGGTGCTATATTGTTATTTGCCAAGATATACAAAATATTCCCATGAATTGTCACCTAATTTCCTGTCTCATGCCACTATATAATACAAAGGTGATTTTAAATTATTTAATGAATCACTTTGGGTATCTCTTTAAAGTGTGCATTCAGTTAAGAATAAATAAGAATCCAATGGATTCATTTAATTCAAATTGGAAGAACTAGTCATCAATGATCTACGCAAAGAGAGCTCTATAACACCACTAATTATTTCAAATTGTATTTTACTGCCTTTTTCCCTCAAAAGGTTGCTGTACTAATTTATTCTGGCATAGATAGTGATCTCAAGTGATTATTAATGTATCTAATTCTATAGCCCATATTAAGATATCTAATCTTTTAAGTGATTATGATTAAAGCAGAACATATACTTATCCACTTATGGTGACAGTAAGAATATTTCAAATATATTAACTGTTGACTTCTCTAGATTTTGACCTTTTTTTCTCTCTTTTCTAGAATTCCATTCCATTCTAAACTTACATTCTGCTATTTTAATAGAATAGTCCAGCAAAGCTTCTTTAAGAGATATTTGAACAGGGTCCTCAGTAAAAGTTAAGGAGTGAGCTGTTTAGATACCTGGGGTCTCATAAATAATACTTAGAAAATATTTTTCTTGGTTTCTTATTTATTTACTCTTATAAATTGTGATGCTCTAAATAGTTACCATTTGTCAATGTCCTGAATAGAACTCTGTGTTTTAGTCCCAGAGTTCTATTGCCGTTCTATTTTATTATTCTCCTACACAGGCACCATCTTTAACCTATACAATAGTAGAGATGGTGTTTCACCATCTTGGCCAGGATGGTCTTGAACTCCTGACCTTGTGATCTACCCACCTCAGCCTCCCAAAGTGCTGAGATTACAGGCTTTCTATATCACTTTCAACAAATTACAAGCCTCTCATGTATAATTCACATTAGAAGTTTTATTCTTGGCACTCTATATTTTTCTTTTGTCCCTTATATTTACAAATATCTCGATTGCATGTGTTATTTTTAAAAGCCGAGAATTAAAAGATAAAAGGAATACTTCTAGTAATTGGTGAAGAGTTTACAGTATTATGAAGAATATATTATTGCCTAAAGCACAGCTAAGCATGACAGAAAATACCTGGCAATGGAAAGAAACTTACTTTTATTTTATATAATTCAAAAGAAGTATGGGATCATAGGTTATATGTTTGTTTATGGATTTTGAAAGTAAATAATGACATCAAAAACCACCAACGAAAACAAAAATCTTATCAATCTGACATATAATCTAACACCAAACCAACCTCAGACCCTCATCCTCTCAAATACTCCTTAACACTCATTATTTTAATCATTTTTGAACATGTGTTCATATTTAAACTTCATGTCTGTGTTCAAACAGTCCCTAAGAATATCATACTGTTCTTCAACACTTAAAAACCTTTATATGTCACCGAGTATCCTATGTGATTCCATCCTCAACATCCCTATCCAAAAAATCATCATTTCCTCAGCCTGCTACAGTGGCTGCTTATGCTTTATTTTATTTTTTAATATATATTTTTTAATGTTTTATTATTTCATTATTTTTTCCACAAGTTATTGGGGTACAGGTGGTATTTGGTTAAATGAGCAAGTTCTTTAGTGGTAATGTGCAAAATTTTGGTGCACTCATCACCTGAGCAGTATACACTGCACCATATTTGTAGTCTTTTATCCCTCGCCACTCCCCACTCTTCCCCCCAAGTCCCCAAAGTCCATTGCATCGTTCTTATGCTTGTGTGTCCTCATAGCTTAACGTCCACATATTGATGAGAACATATGATGTTTGGTTTTCCATTCCTGGGCTACTTCACTTAGAATAATAGTCTCCAATCTCACCCAGGTCACTGCAAATGCTGTTAATTCATTCCTTTTTATGGCTGTGTAGAATTCCATCTCATATATATATCATCATATATATGTATACATGATATAAATGTATACTATATATATATGTATAGTATTCCATCTATATACATACACACACCACAGCTTCTTTATCTTCTTGTTGATTGATGGGCATTTGGGTTGGTTCCACAATTTGACAATTGTGAATTGTGGATGCTTTCTTTTTGTTTGTTACAATAGTGTGTGTATGGCAGAATTAGATTAGTTTTGTTTTATTCTGCTTTCTTTCTTTTTTTTTTTTCGAAACGGAGTCTCACTCTATTGCCCAGACTAGAGTGCAGTGGCATGATCTCGGCTCACTGCAACCTCTGCCTCCCAGGTTCAGGCAATTCCTTGCCTCAGCCACCGAGTAGCTGGAATTACAGGCACGTGCCACCATGCCCGGCTAATTTTCGCATTTTTAGTAGAGACGGTGTTTCACCATCTTGACCAGGCTGGTCTTGAACTCCTGACCTTGTGATCTACCCACCTTGGCCTCCCAAAGTGCTGAGATTACAGGCCTGAGCCACGATGCCCAGCTATTCTGCTTTGCTTTCAATGTGCAATCACATCCAGTGAGTTTGAGCTCCTTGAAGACATTTAGCATTGTCACATTAGTAATATTTGTACACTATTTTGTACAGTGCTTCACATATGGTATCCAATATATATTTTATAATTATTAATATTCTATAATTCACCCTCTTCTTGAAGCCTTATCAGTGTTAACAAGACGTTTGGGATTTTTGTGAAACTTGTGCAACTCTCAATGTGGATTAAGAATTTTAAGATTTTCTATTTAGTTGCATTATTTAGATTTGAATTAGTAAGTGGGGCTATTTTAAAAGTTTATTGTATGTATACAACAGACAATGCAGCTGGAAAAGAGAAATTATCAACTTTAGAGAGTTTATACATTTACATTTGCAATGTGGTTATTAAAAATAGAAATAAAAAATGAATTTTAGTTTGCTTATGGATAAATATATTATTTTATCAAACTAATAGAGTTTAGATTATGCTAGTGAACACTTTTTTCCCATCTGGGAAAAGATTCTTCTATGAAAGGCTGATGTCATAACATTTGAGGATGAAGTTAAAGGATAAATTATTGCAAAAATATCCTGAGTCCATAATAGTCCACTCATTACATACGTGCCAAATATATCCAATCTGTTGTGCATTGAGTAGTTTCACGGTATTTAAGGAACAAAAGGTTTTCATTTGATGAGTTTTCTTAACTGAGAAAAATCAACATGGGTAGCATGTTGCAAGGAAATGACGTGGACCAAAGGCAGATGGATTTTCGTATTAATTATTTTTCATGTATTTTTAAAGCCTTTTTTTTTTTTTTTTTAATTTTTTGCGACAGGGAGTCTCTCTCCCTCTGTTGCCCAGGCTGGAGCGCAGTGGCGCAATCTCGGCTCACCGCAAGCTCCACCTCCACAGTTGACACCATTCTCCTGCCTCAGCCTCCCTAGTTGCTGGGAGGGACTACAGGCGCACTCCACCACGCCTGGCTAATTTTTATGTGTGTTTTCAGTAGAGACGGGGTTTCACCGTGTTAGCCAGAATGGTCTCAATCTCCTGACCTTTCTTCATATATACATACCATCTATAGGAACT